ACTATATATCTATCCTAACCACTCTGAATACACAGATACAAAATGGACATTCATAGGCCTATCTCCTTCTTTTTTAAACTGGGGATTGAACTCAGGTCCTTGGGCTCGCCAGACAAGTGCTTATTCTACTGAGCTACTTTCCCTGGTCCCTATTTTCAGCTTCTTATATTAACAAGGACTCCTTCTATTAAATTAATACAAAGGGCTGATAAGAATATAACAGAACAACCGCTGGGTGGGAGGACACCTCTGTAAAGTCACATTAGGAGTATGTTCCGGACCCCTGGGTCTGCCTCCGGCTCAGCTCCCACTCTGGGACAACCTGGGACTTCCAAGTTCTGACCAGTGCTCAGAGGACCCCAGAATGCCCACACCTGAAATGAAGGCCTGGCATGTGCTCAAGAAAAACATGGTGTCCACTGTGATAAGCGGGGCAGCTGTTCAGAATGTGCAGAATGCCCAATAACTTCAAAGTGGTTAAATTTGATTTTTCCAAGTACAATATGAAGTTATGTATCCCAAATGTCCCAAACATTACAAATCTCAAGACCAAAAAGACCAGAAGGAAATATGCTAAATATTCTACACTGGCTGGCTTTTGCTTGGCTTATTCCAGTTGCTCATCTTTACATTTTTTCACATTTTTCATTACTTTCTGAGGTTTGTACATAAGTCATGTAGACGTAAAATTGGGAACACACACTTACTTTTCTTCTCTGATTGAAGGAAAGCGCTGGTGATTATAATGACCTAAATGCTTATAGGTTTTCTCCAGAATTTGGTTGACATCTTCTGGCAAATCATTTCTGTTCAATTTTCTAAAATTAATTAAAACACTAAATGACAAAAAAGAACTTTTCCAATTAAAATTATTTGCTTTAGGACAAGGTCTTGCTATGTAATCTGGGCTGGCCTTGACCCCACAGTGGTGCTCCTGCCTCAGGCTGCTGCCTTCTGGGGTTACAGGCATGTGCCATCTATTAAAATGAAGCTTTATGAAAGCTAATGAATCTGCGTGTTGCACTGAGCGAGGCTCCACAGCATCTCCTCCCCGCTGTCCTCCTCACCCCGATCCCCCAGGGATGCTCCTTCTTCCGGGTCATGGAGGGATGCACTTCAGGAAACAGGCCCAGGCCAGGCTGCCAAGTCCAGCGTTATAGCAGGCCCTGCCTGGGAACCGCTGGCTCTCCTCTCTCTGTCCCAGGGCCTGGGGCCAGCTTTCCTTTCTGAAGTGCTCCCCGGAGCTCACAAACCCCTCAAGATCCTCTCATATCCCTCTGCAAGCCCACTGCAACCCCCTTACCTCCCCCAGCCTCCAACCATGCCAGGACCTCCTCGCACTCTGAGGCTCCCATCCTCGCTTCCTCTGGTTACAAAGCAGGCACTGCAGCCCCTTGCTGTGGCTTGTGTCTAGGTGTCCCCCCAAAGCCTCATGCAGTCACTGGTGAGCTTCTAGAGTTTGTGATTAATTCTTGATCCAATGCTGGGATTATGGGTGTGAGTGCTACACCTGTCCTAGGGCGGATAATCTCCATGCAAATATATGGAGGGGAGGGAGGCTAGCAGCAGCAGCTGCTGGCCCTTCCGTTGCTTTTTGCTCTTTGCCGCTGCCATGAACGGTTGCCCTCTGCCATGTGCCACTCTGCCTTGGAGCCAGCTGAGTACGGACTGAAACCTTCACAAACTGTGAGTTAAACACTCCTTTCCTTCCTTAATTTTGGATACCTGGTAGTTTGTCCCAGCAACGAGACAAAAGTAACTGAGACACCCCATAAGCCCAACTTCTTAAAGGGCTCCTCTCTACTGTCCAGGTGCCTTTCTGCGCTCTCTTTCCCTCTGCTCACCCCTTCAAAGTCTTCTAGAGCCCTGCCCTTGTCTTGCTCAACCCACGTGGGTAGTCTCAGTTTCCCCTGACAGAACTTGTGGGGAGCACCTGACTTGGATGGGGACTTTCCTCACCTCCTGTGCCTGTGGTTGACCTCACAGGCCTCTCCTCACTAAGGAGGAGGCAGGGCAAGGATGGGTGGCTTTTAGAACATACCTCCCCTGGTGGCCCTGGGCCTCTGTCTCCTCTGGGCCACCTCGGTCACCTTCAAAAACTGCCCATCAACAGAGTGTCCCCAGGGAGGGGGCAGGCTTCTGAGCTCACTCCTCAAAAACTCAACCTTTGCTTTCTCTCAAAACTACTCACGCTTTTAGTGCATTAATGTGGAAAGAGACTGACAGGCTAATGGAATTTTTCTTTTGTTCCTTTAACTGATGCTCATCCATTAATTCATGCTGAACCTGTCATAAAATGGAACAGAATATTAATTTGGATTCAAATGTGTAATTTGGTAGAGATTCCGATTTTGTGTCCAGATAACATCATTTAATTCCTCTTGTAAAATTAATATTTTTAATTAAATGTATCTTTTCATTACTACTTATATTTAGCTTTTTCAGATATAACTTAAGCTGATTTGTATACATAAAAATTAATAGCTGATGTACATTTTTGGGACACAATGCATAGTAATTACTTGACTTTTTATGATTTTCCAGTTAATTTCTTTAAAACATCAATGCACAGGGCATCCCCATGGAGAGGACGCTCTTACATTTAAAAGAATTATTTAAACAATAACAGTGAAGGCAAAGATCTTCTATTTTTCAAAAGTAATTGTATGCTTTCACATAGGGTGAGTCTAATTCTTTTTATCATTTGTTTCTTTTTGCCTTGCTCTTGGGTATGTATGATTCGGTCTCAATCAACGGGCTTCTTTGGGATCTCGTGCACAGGTTTCCGAGCAGTGATTTTTTGTGTTTATGTATTTCGTACAGGGTCTATAGGGTCTCACTACACAACTCAGACTCATAGTGATCCTCCCTGTCTTTAGCCTCCCAAGCCCTGGGATTACAGGCGTGTGCCACCATGCCCAGTCTCAGTCACTGGCTCAGTGTGCTCCAGGGGGACCAGAATGGCACACAGGGGATCAAACCCCAGTCCCTGAGCCTGCCTAAGCAGGCACTTTAATCTGCTGAGCTATCTGGCCAGCCCCTGAGCAGTGACCTTTAAGGGAATTGCTTCCTACATGCATTTCTAGTCACGTCAGCCTACCATGACTGAGAATATCTGCCGGCACTTCTGTGGCACGTGAGCCTTTATGAATGGTGCTGCAGTGCAGCAGAACTTGGCAGCCTCTTCCCTTTTTCCAGCCTGCAGGTAGCACTCGAGAAGTTCCCTGGATAATATAAAAAATACTAGCTATTAAGCCTTGTTGAAGTTGTTTTCTGTTCCAGATGCTAGGACAGGTAGAATTATGTAATTTTTATGTTTTACAAACTTATAAAAGGAGTCCCTGGAAAGCTCTTTAAGCCATGACCAGGGCCTGTGGCTCACCAGGAAGAGCCAGTAGCAACCAAGAAAACACACTAACATTGACAACAGAGTGGGATTCTTGGCATTTGCATTACCTATGACATTTGAAAATGACATCTTGTAGAAGGATCATATCTATATTTACCTTCTTTTAAACATTTTCCAAATACCCACAAGCAGATACCCTAACCTGCAGACTCTGGATTTGGACTTGGAAACAAATCTCTGGCAGTGGCACAAATGGGACCCCCATTATCAGCATCCACTCAGTCACTGTCCTTCCTTACAGAGTGGCCCCAAGTACAAAAGCTCTGGCAGGTCCCCTTTTAGTCCAGGTGGCACAATGGCCAAGCATTTGGTGACGGACCCATCCTGTGCTGAAGAGCACTGCAGGGCCACCTGGCATCTGGATGTGGTGCTTTCCTGGCATAACTGTTTGCTAAAACATCCAGCTCATTAAGAGTTTATTTCACTAAGATTTTAAAGGCATGAGCTAGGACTAGGGCCAGGATTGCATTGCCTTTGCTTGGCATCTCAATATATTTCTCTGTCATCAGTTGAAATGCTCATAGTAAGAACCACCCATAGATTCTAAAACTAACCTTCCAACAAGACACAAACTCAACCCCAACTATAGAAGTGAAAGCAAGGGACGTGAGAGGGGAAAGGATGCGTTAGACCTCTGGTCCAGCGCCCGGAGGGCTGGGCACCAGCACTCACAGCATCAGCTCGGCCTGCCACTCCTTGTCTTCGTCCTCAGTCTGATTTAGCACACTGACGATCTGAGAGAGGCTGGGGATCACCAGGTGGTGGTAGCCGGGTTTGAGAAATGGCCTCACCATGTGCCAGTAGAGTACCGAGGCGTTGTACACTAGGAAGTAGTACCTGCAACCAGGAAGAGGAAGTCTGAGTAGGACAGCCACACACACAGGCAGGGGCTCCTCTGTCCCCTGGCCCCTTGCAGTTGTCTCACTATCCCTGGCAGATGATGGTGCCCTGCCGGTGGTGCTTTCTTCCAAGTTGCAGGTGCACCAGGATGCACAGCCATTCCTGGATGTCCCCGCTCCACACCAAATAGGGACCCATGCAGTCAGCAGTGGTGACAAGGCTGCTGCTCCTGACTTCAGACCAGGATCCTTTCATTCAGCTACTCCACAAATGGATCAGTCCCCCATGAGAATTCACCAGTGACCAAGGGCGGGAGGGGTATGGAAGGTTTCCTAGAGGAGGTGACACCCTCCTATGGCCTAAGAGATGACCATGAGTCTTCCAGGAAAGACTTAAGTGAAAGGAAAGAGGCTAAGGCAGGCAGAGTGGAAACGAACATTTGGGGAACACAGTTCCCATCTGAGCTTAAGCTGTGAAGCTGGGGGCTGGAGGCATGAACAAGGTCATCTCTCAAATGTCTGGGCTCCACTGAAGGTAACAGCACCACCTAAAGGATTCAAGAGGGGAGCCTCTGGGCTTTCTTACTCTACGGCCATTCTCTGGAGTGGACAGCTCTGCCCTGGGGGGGCTCAGGCGCCAGAAAGCATCTTACTGCTGACCACTGGAGACAGTCCAGTGATGCTCAGGACCCAGGAAGGACATCAGGGTGGCCAGCAGCCACGTAAGTCTTCCCCTTGCAGGACTCTGGGCCACAGCTCCCCCAAGGGAAGGAGGGGAGGGCAGGCATCACAAGCAGACTCCTCTAGCTGAAATGAACCCTTTCCCTGCCATCTCCCGGGTGTCCTGTCATGCTAGAAAGGCACCCACCTTCTCCCTCGTACTCCTCTGCCTGGTACCTCTGATTGACTGCTGTTCCACCCCAAGGGACCAAGTGGACTGTCTCCTCCCTGCTCATCACAAGCCAGGCAGCTCCCAAGTGACATCCACACCACTTCCTAAAGGTGTCTCTGACGAGTTTCTTGCCCACCATCCTCTAGTGGCCCTGAGACCCCTGCCGTAGAGCAGGAGCTGGGCTCCTCCCCAGGTTTCCTAGATCCCCTGATTCATCAGGTGGGATGTGGTTTCTTTTGGAGACATCCCATACTCTCAGGATCCCTATTTCAGGATGAGGTCATCCTCCGTCCATTTCCATGGAGGGAGGGTCTATGGATCTGCACCCTGTTTCTCCAGCACCCACACAAGTTGTGGTAGGAAAGGACCATCCCCAGACAAGCAGTGGACATGGGGAGTGAAGGAACAAACCTGAGGTTTATTGTGAACATGCCTTCAAAGGCTCTTCCCACCACACCTGCTGTGCCAGTGCTAGTTTGTGTGTGAGCTTAATGGTGTCAATAACGTTTGTGCTACCCAGCACTAACTATAGGGCAGGGAGTTTCAGTGAATCACTCATACAGAGGCAGATGGCCTCAGCTCAGACAGCCCTGCAGGGCGATGGGCAGCACTGGAGGAAGCCAAGAGCATGGTTCTCACGCTGGAGATGTGGACCCTGGAAGACCAGGGGTGAGCACGCCTGGGCACAGGTCGGAAGGCAGGCAACAGAGGACAAACAGATTCTGCCAATCACGAAAGCTGTGTAAGAGGACGCAGCGCTACAGAAATTTTTATACAAATATGGCCCTGTTCTGAATGCTAATGGGATGAGCTTATGCCATAACTGAATTAAAAACACAAGGGGAAAACCCTGACTGACCAAACAAACTGGACCATTCAATAAGTTTTGGCTCTAAGGTCTTGCATACGGTCGTGTAGAAGCAGACCATTGGGTATTGGGTATGCCTACCTTGGCTCTCCTTTTGCAAAGTTTATAGCCTTCATGTACTGAGTCACACAGTGTTCAAATTCTTCCTAAAACAGCATAAAGAATGTGCAATTAAGTTGAATTTGTCATTAAAGTACACAGCGTTGCTCTTGGTCACTTCTGAGAACTCTCCTTGAGACTGGGCTGGCAACAGACTAATGCATAGTTGGGGTACAGGGCTGAGCTTGACCAGAAAACATAGCTGCCTGTGCTTTGGTGTGCCCAGCTGGGGTCCTCTGCCCAGCTCTGGGGCAATCAGAAGTGCACGGGCAGAAAGGCCAGTACCTCACCACCCAAAGGTCAGAGTTGTGGGTACCTGCCCAGCAGTGAGTGACCAGAGGAAAAGTCATAAACAGGAAACTGCACAATTTCACATCACTCTGAAAATGAACTTGGCTGCTTAACTCTGTTTGCTGAGCACCGTTTAAAGACTGGCCTAGGCCACAGGGAGAGGCAGGGGAAGCTGGAGACTCAGGAGGAGGAGGGGCTCTAGCATGCTCACCAGGTTGTCCGAAGTCTTCGGGGCACACAGCTGGGCCCTGCACAGGTGCGCCCGGCCCAGAAACTGGGTGACCGGTCCCTTCACCTTGAAGTACATCTGGATGCAGTCCTCGCTCATCTCTGGCTGTCCCATCTGCAAGAGAACATGCTTCCAAACCTGGAAAGGTGCTGTCTGGGTGGAGCGGCCTTGCCGGCAGGCTGGGTGCACCAAGGAAGGAAGACCCATTCACTTGTCCTCCCACCCGTGTCTGAGCCCAGAAACTCCGGGAATCTGGACGTCCTCCCGGGCCTGGGTCTGTCCAGGCCACCCGAGCCAGTCACCTTGAGCGCCTGTTCAGCGCAGAGTACAAACAAGTCAGGACTGAAGCTTTCTGAGGGATCGAACTCGGACTTCCCCAGGTTGGCGGACTTGATGAGTTCGTAGGCTCGCTTCAGAGCATGGGCATCTGTTGGGCAAGGGGCCGACAGGACTGCGGGGTCTGGAGAGATAACTGCCTGCGCCAGGCCTCGCGTAGCCCACGGGTCTGTCTCGAGGTCTCGCGGCCCAGGCTACCAGCGCCCTGCGCCACCTGGTGGGCTCCCGAGGCCCTCCCACCTCAGTACTGGCCCCGCAACGGTCCCAGCCAGCAACGAATCTAAGCAGCCCTAGGGCCCTAGGTTCACCTCCGCTCGGGTCTGTCTTGAGTTTGATGCCTCCAACGACTGGTCTCAAAGGATCTGTCCCTTAAGCCGGGGGCAAGGACAGGGGTCCCTGGGGCCCCCTTTTTGGGAGTCCGGGGTACTGGGTCCCCAGTTCTCCCAAGAACAGGGGTCCTGGGATCTTCTAGGGTTGGGTCGGTAGTCCCCGAAACCCACCTTCGTGGCTCTCCGCTCGGGCCAGCTCCTGTGTGATGACCAGGTCCATGGCGTTGCCGTCTGCAGTCCCTCAGTCTGTCCGCGGTTGCTTGGAGGGCTACAGCGGTTGCCTAGCGACCAGGAAGGACGCCGGGCCGCTGGTGGGCGGAGCCACATTGGTCACCCGAGGCGGGAGCTTGGCAGTGGGCAGGGGCAGAAGGAAGAGGAGGGCGGGGGCGGGGACCAGTAAGGAATAGTCATTGGAGGCAATGCGAGGGCCAGTGACTGAAAGTGCGCTCACACCCTTAGTCCTAGCCCTGAACCACAAAACAGTCACACTCTAGGTCCAGCCACCACTGAAAAAACTGCCCTGGGCCCGCGGAGATGGCTCAGTGGAATAAGCACTTCTGGTAAGTGCAAGAGCCTCAGTTCAATCCCCGGTTCCACCAAAAGAAAAAAAAAAAAAGAAAAAGAAAGCAAGCAAGCAAGCAAGCAAGCAAGCCAGGCAGCCAGCCACCCTTACGGCTGCATGGGGCTTTGGGGATACATTAAACAAACCACGACAACTTCCAACTGGTATCTTTACCAAGGGTTCACCGGGAATGTATTCCCAGGGGAACGTGGAAGGGCGTGGTTTTGCCAGTTCTTAAAAATAAAGATGCAAACCAGGCATGGTGGCACATGCCTGTAATCTCAGCACTCAGGAGGCTGAGGCAGGAGGATTGTTGTGGGTTTGAGGGCAGCCTGGGCTACAAAGTGATCTTAAGCCCAGCCTGAACTGCATTAAAGAGGTCTTGTTACAAAAAACACAAAGAAAAATAAATAAAGAAAGAAAGAAAGAAAGAGAAGCAAATACAGAGCTCTAGAGTAAAAGTGGGCAGATCTCTAACAAGCATTACATCATCTTCTTAGATTCATTTTAAAATAAAAACCATGATAGGATACGAGCACCTGTGGGGCATATACAGTCTGTGTGATAGCTCCTTACACCTCCTCCGATGTGACAGAGCTATGTACTGATAAATCCATCATAAAACAATCATTAGTTTATCATCAAAACTATCATTCATCAAGATGCACTAAACAGATCAACCCAACTGGGCCACCAAGGGTGCCAGTAGCGAGCTGTTGTCCACCCTTCTGTGGCTGGGTACCTGCAGGCTGTGGCCTGCCACCACTGCCCAGCATCACGGGTGAGCACTGTGGTGTGTGTCCCCAGCCAACAAGAAGATAAAAGCTTGAATTTGGGAGTATGGCATCTACCACTTTCATATCTTTATAAGATTGAGCAATCCTGTGAACTATCTCTCTATGGATGTATGATTTAAAAAGTTCTACCTGGATATAATTTTGAGGCATAAACATCATATTTTTTCAGACTCTTAGAGCAGTATACCATCTCAAAAGGCCAGAGCCTCAAATCCTTGCTAGCTTAACCATCTGTTTGTTTTCAAGGACAGCCCTTAAATGTGCCTTTGTTTATTCATAAAGACTGTCCGCACTATGTGTATAGCACTGATAAAATATTTACTCTCTCCAAGAAAGTACCTCCTCAACATTATGGAATAAGAGATTTTCTAAATCTGAGAGCATTAAATATTAAAATTCATTTTTCTGGGTATCCAGGAGCCATAAATATGAAGAAAGCAGTGCGGAGTTATTTTTCTTGCTAGATGGTATTTCATTTTGAAAAGACAATGCAGGTCAGCCCGAGCCTGCAGTTTTTTGCTTGCCAGAGACTCAAGTGTGGAGGTTACGGGGTACAGCAACACCACACCCCTACCTTCCGATGTTCCGCCCTGCATCCCGGCTGCATCTCAAGGAGGAGCAGTGCAGTAGTCTCTCTCTGTGACACCCCAGTGCCCAGGCTCTTCCCGAGGGCAGGGCAATCACCGGGTTGTCCCTCGTGCCTATCTCAGGCCTTTAGGTAGCAGCTGCTTCTGTCTGGAGCAGGAAGTCCTTAACGTCCACCCTGCCTGTCCCTCAAAGCAACATTTGGGTCATCACCTAAGAAGGAAGAAACTCACCAGTGGGGGGGGGCCTTCCTACAGCAGCAAGGAACCCTCCAGTTCTCTTTGGACGACACTGGGTGTCCCAGAAATCAACTCAACTTGGCCAACATCTGAAGTTAGCATTGTACCTCACAGATTAGGGGCTCAGTCTCACATGACTCCCACCTCTCAGCTGTAGATCGAAAACGATGGGCCCCCAGGGATCCCCGGACTTTTGCCCTGTGTGGCTACGAGTTGGGGGCTCCTCAACTTCCTTGTGTGGTTAGATAATTTGCTAATGGCCTGAGTGCCCAAAAGTCTCAGAAACACATTTACAGGTTTCTAATAAACGAAGAAACAAGAAAAATACAAGAAAATATGCACATGAATGTCTTGAGGGAGGGGAGGCTGAGGCAGAGGGCAGGCCGAGGCTGAGAGCAGCCCCGGGGCACAGGCCTCCGTTCTGTGGAGCTGGACTGAGGCACCCTCCTGGCACACAGATATGTCCAGCAGCCTTGAGGTCCTCCAGACCCACGGCTCAGCTAGCTCTCCTTCTTCCTGTTCTGTGCCCCCTTCAGGAATGGGGGCTTGAGCTAGATCCCTGGTCCTTTGTAGCTTTACTTTGAGACAGGGTCTTGCTAAGTCACCAAGTTGCCCAGAATGAACTTGAACTTGAGATCCCCTTGCCCCAGCCTCGCAGGGTGAGGGATTACATAGCTCAGTTTTTATTTTACTTTGTTTTATTTGGATTTTTTATTTTAAAGAGGAATAAAACCATCTCTTTCCTTTTCCAATACAGTACCTAGTTGCATCCATTTATTTACAAAAGCTTCAGATAATCTTTTTTAATGCCATTTTGCAAAAATACCACATATTTTGTATCTATTACTTGGTCGATGGGCATTTGGTTGTTTCCAAGATTTAGTTATGACAAACTGTGCTGCTAGAAACATAGGTGCATATGTATTTCTGCGGTAGAATGTTCTTAATTCTTCTGGGAAAATACCTAGAAGGGGAATAACGGTGGGATAGGACCTCTAGCTTCAGTTATTTGAGGGATCTCGCCCCTGATTCCCACAGTGGTTGCACCAGTCTATACTCCCATCAACAGTAGAAAAGGATTCTTTTTCCTCCACAGCATGCCAGCATTTTTTATTGGTTGATTTCTTTCTTTCTTTCTTTCTTTCTTTCTTTCTTTCTTTCTT